CGAAAGCTTATGCCGTTAATGTGCAGAGAGAACCGAGAAGAAGGCATTGGATCCATATAACATGTCAGGTAGCATTAGCGATCTGTAAAATAGCAGGGTTTGTTGCTCAGTTAAGTAGGAGCGAATGACTCGCAGCGCCGTCAGTTTCTGGGAGGTCTTCCGTGTGATAGTCGCTAGGCATATGCGAATAATGCCGGCAGAAAAATTGGCAGAATTCGGTACTTTTTCTGGTAATTTTTATGCATGTTTGGTATGTGGATAAAGAAATGGAGCAGAATTCGATGAATTGCCCGCCAAAAGGTTTGTATGGTTCTGCCAATTTCACTGCTTTTCGAGCAGAATCTGCCACCTTTTCGAGCATTATCCGCAAATGCCTAATAGTCCCAACTTGAGTCTCCCACCGCAACTGGGAGTCGAGATCTGCGCAGACCTAGATATCGAGCAGTTGTGGTCTGAGCTAGGGGATTTTCATTGCATTCTACATGTATGTTAAGTAACAAGGGCTGCCTCCGGGACGGATGTAAGGCCAGAACATGGGTTTTGGAGGGACAAAGTTTAGTATCAAGCCTCTTCCTTCCAGAAAATTGGCCAGGTTCGAGACCGAACGGGAGAGGGTTAGGCACCAGCGGATTATGCCGGCATAATTATTGGCATAATTTGATGGTTGAACATTTGGAGCATAATTTGGCATCCTTTCGGAGGTAGGAGCAAATCTACATTGTATATGGTTGTAGCAGAGTTCTAGTAGGTAGGCTACACAATTGTGTACAATGAATGCACCTGCTCAGTGCTGGTGGTCTGCATGGTAAAGGGTTTGGAGGTCATGCAGATAGTGTTTTCAATGAAAAGCAGGGTAGGAATCCTGGCAATATATGCTCGAACTCGTCTTCTTCAAAGTTCTTTCTCACACTGATACAGTACATGTTGCAGACGATGCGAGTGAATCAGCCTTTATCAGGTAGCATCGGCCTGGGGCGGACGAGATAGTGACGGGTAGTCCGCAAAACTCCGCGTACATGTACATTATGCAGTCATGACCCGTCAGTCAGTATTTTAGCAGCCATGACTGTGCAGGCTATGGATATTGCTCGGTATAGTTGGTGCTCGGTCTTGATGGAAGGAGAGGTGGAGCTACGAGAGAGATGAGCTGGTTATTCGCAGGGTGAGGGTGACATTGGCTGGACGAGTATGACGATTACGAAGACAGTTGAACATGATAATTTTCAAAGGTAACTCAAACTAGTTTGGCAATGAAAAAATCTTTATATAAAAGAAGTCAACAATGAATAGAAGCAAGAGTAGATAAACAAGATCTTAAGAGTGTGCAACTTGCGGATGGGTTGGCCCACGGCGGAATTTTTTGTCGACGTAATCTTTTCGACGATGCACTCGCTGCGAGCCTTTTGGAGAGGTTTCCCTCGTGCACTTGGCCGGGCTTTACACTACAAGGTCGGTGCCCAGCACGTGCTCTCACACTGCTCTGCGGCAAAGTCCGCGTTTCTCTGAAAAAAGGTGACGTCAACAAAAAATTCCGCCGTGGGCGGGGGTATCTGCAGATTGTGCAGGAGAGATCCGGAGTTGCACACTCTTGTTTATCTAGTCTACTCTTGATAGAAGAGTATTGACTGTTTTCTCTTTTCCATGTTGTAAATTACTAGTACTAGTATGCCACGACACCTTGGTATGGAGATACTCGTGTAACATTTTGATGTACTCACATTTATTGCATGTCACGTGAGGGTTGCCTGTACTACAGCCAATGAGCGCTCTTGCTCAGCGGTCTGTATTTCTCGGTATTGCCCGGCAAGTTATTGCCCGCTCAGTTACATGTACGCGCATGCGGACTGTCATTCTTGTACTTTGTGGTTCGTGATCAGATCAAGTTGCTACAGTTCGGAGTTTCAAATTTGAAACACAAAACAGCAACTAACTATGTTACTTGATCTGACTACAAACTACAAAGCACGAGAATGACAGACCACACGCGCGCGCATGTAACTGAGCTGACAATAACTTACTTGTTCCAGCCACCTGAACCAGCCGCCTCAGCAGGTGAATGCAACCTTGACATCGATATCGATGCGTTGATGAGCAGCCGACGAACTTGACGAACTGAATGCGTTCGAGACGAAGTTGTGGAGCCCATCCCAGTTTCAGTTCCTGTTCCTACACGCAGTGCTCAATCACGAACAACAACACCATCGATATCGTAAAGAAATAGAGAATTTCAAAACCACAAACGACGTTTACCACTGAACAAGTGTGTCGGGAGATTGAGAAAGTCGGAAAGGTTTCTCTCCATTTTCTGGAATGTTTGGGTCAAGCATGCAATAAATGATTTACTGCGCCTCGTACGCACTCGTACACGGGCAATACCGGCTTGATACATGAGAGTGGCGCACAGCATTCAGAATTGCTTCACCACCGCAGCCGGCCTCCCGTGATCGGATTCAGTGTAGTATTTGTAACATTTCCTTTTCGAAGAGCGGCCTGCCACGCCACAAGTGTACTCAAGAGCGTCGCAAACCTTTAGCAGACCAGTCTGGCAGCAGCCAATGCACCGCATGTCTTCGCTGGTTTCGCAGTCATGGCAGACTGACATAGTCGGATTCGGCAGCTGGTTCATGTGTGTGTGTGTGTGCGCGCACGCGCGCGTGCCTGGGAGACTGCATAGTCGCATTCAGCAGCTGGTTCATGTGTGTGTGTGCGCACACGCGCGCGCATAAGCGTGTTTGTGCGCACGTGCCTGGGAGACTGCATAGTCGGATTCGGCAGCTGGTTCATGTGTGTGTGTGTGCGCACGCGCGCGCGTGTTTGTGTGGATTCGGCAGCTGGTTCATGTGTGTGTGTGAGCGAGCGTGCATGCCTGGGAGACTGTATAGTTGGTTTCGGCAGCTGGTTCGTGTGTGTGCGCGTGCCTGGGAGACTGCATAGTCGGATTCTTCAGCTGCTTCATGTGTGTGTGTGTGTGTGTGTGTGCGCACGCGTGTGGGTGTGGGTGCGCGCGCATGCATGCATGTATGTATGTATGTGACATAATCTTATATCGGTAGTTATCTGTGGATTACTATGTTCTGCGGTGGACTGCGACAGCACACATTATGTGCCAAGATGTGAACCTGGTGATTTGCAACTGTGTTATGTTGAGTTGAAAATGAGCAATGACAGTTAGCTTTTGGTGCTGTATGAGTGTGTTAGGAAATCAATAGCCAATTCCAACCTCTTGCATTGGCCGTCAGGTTGGATAGGATCAGCGCGTGCATTTACAACAGGGGTGACGTACTTCCTATTGTACTACCGTAATGTCACATTAGCTTCAGTGTTCATATCATTATAATACTGGAGTATTCTACGTATTCACTACTATTCAGTAATCGGGTTATTACTTTTGAAATATACTTCACTCACCAATTCATTGCTCGCTATTATCTACAAGTTCCAGTCCAGTATGATGAAGTCAAGAGGCGATTTATCCAGCCAAGTAGAGGAACTTGGGATACGAAATCCAAGAGAAATCATGAGGGTTTTCTCAGTTCGGCCATTCACGAATGTAATTGTTATTCTTCAACGCAAACTGAGTAATATTTGACCTTGAACAGGATGAAAAGAAGTTCATGCTCGGGGCAGTCGTCATTTGCTCCAGAAGGTTACTCACTACAGTCTACTACGCCTATAGGCCTAGGAAGTGGTGAACAAATATGTCGAGAGATATTTAGGACATTCTTGGAAGTCAGTTCTGAACGATTGCATTGTAACTACAAACAGTAGTGACTTTGCTGCATGCAGTTTGCATGCATGATCCCGATTCATAATTCTCAGCGGCAAAAAAATTCGAATCTAGTCTTGTGCACTGGTTTCCGCGTTATGTGCACTCGTGGTATCTGCTCATGGCTTCAAAAAATGAGAATCCGTGAACAAGCGCAAAAAAAATCAAGCGAAGAAGGCGAAAATGGCCGCTGCTGTCAGTGAGCAAAGTTAGTTGGATGTTTGGCGTCTTCTGTGACCACTGGTGACCTCCCTGGTCAGTTTCGAACTGTCCAACAAGTGGAAATCGCTTCAGGATACCATCGTGAAGCGGTGTGCTGAAGGACGATTTGTCCCACTGAGTACAATCATGTTTTCATGTAGACCCAGGTGCTTGAAGTCCGTACACTTTTACAGTGTGTGTTTGCCGAGCTGAAACTCACACTAGCAATGATCACTTGCCAGAATCCTGCTCGTGGATGGAAGGTATCTTGTCCAAGTTTGTTCTGAGACCAGGCTCGATTGAACCAGGCCATCTTTCGATCCGATCTGTCTCTCTGGAGTTCGCTGATTTTTCATATCAAATTGTTGTGTCGCAGAGGGTACTCTAAGTCCGTACTGATCAGAGGTGACTCGAAATACACACATATTTCTGCTAATTGCTAACTTGCAATCCCTCGGTTACGACAAAAGCACCGAAGGGATATGTTTGGGATGTGCCTCCACCAGTATTTCTTGCAAAAGCGTAGTTTGTTGCCGAAATGCAAGATGTTTTTAGTCGGCTCAGAGAAGAAGCAGCTGCGCTGTGAAAACCGCGGGAAAACAGTGGTGGAGATGCCAGGAGTGTCAACCTTTCTGCAAGGATTGGTGGTTCTCTGTAAATTCTTCTCCTCTGGCCATTGTCAGCTCTAAGCTGGCTCTTGATGATTGAGTGAAGGTCTGTTTGACGCTGTGTCCGTTCGAAATCGGTCTTGGCAAAGTTGATTTTTGCATGAAATGTAACCCAATTTGTATTTCGTATGGACACTCGAAAACCCACTCGCGTGGTATGGGACTTCTGCTTATCGTAGATCCCTGAAAATTACTACGCGAGGAGAACATACCACACTGTCCCCTCCATAGAATATTTGAGTCGAATACAATAACAGAACATGAAATTATGGGCGTACGAACTTAGGATACCATGTACGGACTTCGAGCACCTGGGTCTACTCTTGTCTTGAGGGCTCCCTGCTGCATGGTCCGCGCCGGATATCCCAGATCTGACTTCTCTTGAAAATATTTTTGTCAAAATCTACAATAATTATTTTCAAACTTCAAAGGCCATCATGGTTTGTGATTCTTTCCTACAGTCTACAGATCCTGGTGTAATACAAGTTTTGCAGCTCTGGTTTTCCTAACGATAATCTATTGTTCTAACTGGCATAGTTTATTCTCTCTCTTCTTCGTCACTGGCTGAAGTAACTGGCAACATTCTCTTGCCGGCGCCCGAACCATAATCATCGTCCTCGAATGAGTAATTTGTTACTCATTGTGAATGGAATAATGTTTTGAAATAAGCAGGTGATCCTCTGAGCAGAAGATGGAGGACAGTACGTCCAAGGCTTATAAAGCCTATATAATAGCCCCGTTGCTGGGAGCGCGGCACCTAGTTGAAGGCGTCATGATGAGCCCCAAGTTGTTTAGGGAGTCGGAGGTCGTCAGGACGAAAATCTATTGGACAATATTCTTCAACGCCGTATGTGTGATGCTGTTGGTGGGAGTCTTCCATTTGTATGGGCCATTGGCGCTCACTGCACTGGTACAGCACCTGGCACAACTAGCTGATTCAGTAGCCGGTGAATACGGACTGCGCTTGAGCGTTCTCCGCATGACGAATGACTGGTTGGACGAGCTGCTCTTAGTGTATCATCTGATCTTCTGGCTTCTCTGGGCCATACCTCTCATTGTGCTGACGAAAGTTTTAAGTTGCTTTTGGTACCAGGACATCTCTGATATTGCATGCATCTTCTTTAAGCGAGATGAACCACGCCGGTTCAAGCAGACGCCTAGATCAGCGTCCAGCCAGTACACGGACGCTGTGTACAGCGCTCTCCTCTCGCTGGTGTTCATGGTGCAGACAGCCGTCGTGCAGCAAGTGCCCTACGCCGGGCCGCTTCTAGCCCTAGTTCTCAACGGCCTGCTCGTCTCGCTGTATTCCTTTGAGTACACCTGGTTTGACAGGGGGGTGCCGCTTCAAAAGCGAGTTGCGCTGATCTCGAAGTATTGGACGTATTTCGCAGGCTTTGGTGTACCAGTATCTCTACTGACGACTGTCATTTTCTCAAATTGGATGTATTCTTTGCCATTAACGGCAATTGTCTTCCCGTTTCTCATCATCACGGCAGCACAGGCCAATGTGCCACAGATACATGAAGTTTCCGAGCCAGTCCAGGTGCCCATATTTTACCTGGCTTATCGTGTTACGGATGCTTTCATCGCCCGCGTTCATAGGTTCTTGATCTTCGTGTGATGGCGGTTAGCTGTGTACTGCACAGTTTGCCGTTGTTCTATGTACAGTTGTGCTCTGTGTATACGGTGTGTGCGTGTGTGCATGTGTGTGTGTGTGTGTGTGTGTGTGTGTGTTTGTGTGTGCACGTGTTTGTGTGTGTGTATATATTATGGTATGTGTATAGCATGTGTTCTGTCATATACTGTACAGTGTGTGTGTGTATGCGTGTGGTTGCGTATGGCTACCTGGGAAAAAGCTCGATAGCCAGTGCCACCTATCAGTTATCAAGAACATATTCCTGCCCAATGGCAATGGGAGTCAACTGAAGGGCAATGGCCGTGTCGTTAGTGTACTGTTGGTTGTGCAGTGTGTCCTGTTTCCGGGCTCCAGTCATGTATATTACCCAGTATGTATTGTACAAGCAGCGGTCTGTTTCATTGTGTAAAAGTCAAAAGAGCGTCATGCTACATTGTATATATTGTGTGAACGTCTTCGTCAGTTTTAGGTTTCTTCGCTGGTTGCAGTGTATTTTCCCAGTCGCCGGTGACCGCTGCTCTTGTTGTAGATCGTGAGTCGTTCCAGGATGGCAGTATTTGACTTGTACTCTCATTCTTCGTCTGTACAGTACATATTTTCTTGATTATCTTTTTTTTTACTTCTCCCCTTGAATCCGAGCACCGCTCTGCCGAACATGGTGTACCCAAAAGGATGACGTCATTAATTTCACATGGCCCTATGCTAAACTCTATTCTCAGAAGCTGTACTGCACTGAGTTGCCTTTAAAGCAGGCACGGGGGGGGGGGGGGCTGAGTATCTTGCATTTTGCATTTTTTCACTGCAGGTTGGTGTCGCGCTGCTTGTCGTCTTTTTCTGTACTAGTGCTTTTTTATCTTTCAACTCGATGTGCCCTAATATATTCCTAACTACTCTCGCTGAGCTGCCTTGTGTCTAGTTTTATACCGCGGCTCCACCATTTATCAGCTCTTTCGGACATTATTTGTCTCACCTTGAAGGTATGCGGTCGTCCTCCCCTTATGTTGTTGGCTTTCACTGTTTACTATACCATGTCTCTTTTGAAAGAGAATCGTCGGGAAATCTATGTTCGCTGCGTGTTTCTCTGTACTGCTCTTGGAGGGGCGGGCACTATTCTCCTTTCTTGCCCGTCTGCTGTGTTCCTGTAAGTGTGTGTGTGTGTGTATGTGTGTGTGTGTGTGTGTGTGTCCCATATGGTGCAGTGGTATGTGCAGCGATTTCCAATCGAGAGGTTGCGGGTTCGATTCCCGACGATTATGGTCACACACGTCTTTCTTCTCTTTCTCAGACTCTTCCTGACTTTTCTTTCATTCTCCTGGGTGGTTACCAACAGCCAGTGTATGCCGGAGTATGTGGTGTGATGTGTGTGCGGGAAAAAAAAATGAAAAAAGACCAAAAAGTAGGGATTCACTGGCCAGAAAAAGTCACTTCATAGCTGTGTGGTGTAGACCAGGCTGAATAGTGGCGGTCAATTCTTCAGCCTTGCAAGTTGTTGAATGGTGCAATCCCAGCACAAGCTGCTATGGCTTCTGCTGTAGCATCGCTATCAACGCCTTCGGTGATGGGCGTCCAATGGTGTGTGTGTGTGTGTGTGTGCGTGCATAGTGGGTGTACAGACAGAACCTCAATACAAAGAACAGCACCACCAAGCATTACAGACGCTTGGTAATACAGGCAGAGCTGTAGAACTGTGAAAATCTGTAAAACAAGTACTGTAACTAATTACTAACATAGACATTATACTCAAGAAAGGAACAAGCTTGAGAGAAAACTATGAGCTGAGCGTTACACATACCAACCTTTTTTTTCTCCAATGCAGGTGCAGGTCAGTGTTCTGTTCTTTATTTGAATTTGTCAGCATAAGCGATATCATAGCATAAGCGGGCTCGACGCCCAGTTGCATGATAGCAAATGCAGGGAATAGAAGTAGGAGGAAGGGGCAGGAATACCATTTTAACTCAGGTCAAGCTGATAGGTGGTAGATCTTCCTCCAACCATACCTATTCTTGTGCCCTGTACGTGTACCGAGCATTCTCTTTGGGACACTTTGGCCGTAGCAAGAAGTTCCGCCAAGAAAGCGCCGCGAGTTTACAACATGATGAAACATGCAAGCTAGCGTCGAATCAGGCTTTACTTCTGTATGGTACGGACCTATGGAGTTACGAGTACCGCGGGTACATCTTTTTGGTTACACATGCTTAGTCTCTTGGGTGCCGCATCACCGGGGGAATTGCACCCAAGGCAAAAGGGGAGGTGAGCTCCTGAGCCCCATGTATGAGACATCATTCCCTGTGGAAACCCCGGGACGCAAAAGGTGGAGCAGAATTGTGTTGTTACAATGAATTTCGCGCTCAACGCGATCCTTGAACAATACTAAAAGTAATGAGATGTACAATTTTAAAGAGTTCAGCATCGATATAATATAAAATGTTCATCTGACAGCTTACGAGAGAATACAGTTTGTATAATTATGCATGGTTACAGCAGTAAACAAAATCTTAATTCAAATGTTCGCATCAAATAGTCTCGTACAAGTTTTAGTCTCTTTCGGTGCAATAAAAAATAAAGGAGATGTTAGCCATATAGAGCACCATGTTGTATTCACTGACAAGGGTGGAGTCCGCACACGAACGCGAACTTGTAATTTAGTGGCTTATCAACTGGTGGTTGTTCATTCACAGCTGAGGAAGCGTACACCTGAGGAGTTCCGGCAGCTAGCCGCTGTTACGGCATCACGGCTGCGGTCTGCCCGCCGCGAGACTGGAACCACCTGCGCAGCTGCTTACTGTGACTGCGCTGCTATCTGTGTGCGAATGATATGCGCGGCTTGCTGAGCCCGGCGTACTGAGTCCTTCGCCTGGCAGCGGCTCACGACGTTGCTGCCCTCGAACTGGCCTTCATTTCTCGGACGGCCATGTGTGCCGTCTGGGAACGTCATCTGGCCGAACCCCTTCACCTTGCCCTCGGCGAACTGTCCCTCGAATTTCATTCCATCAGCTTTGGTGAAAATGCCATGGCCGTGGTATTTGCCCGCTACAAACTCTCCCTCGTAACGTGATCCATCCGGAAAGCTCAGAACTCCGCCAGCGAAGAGGCCGACCTCGAATTTGCCCACGTACTTCGTGCCATCAGCAAAGGCCAAGCTGCCCCAACCATGACGCTGTCCATCATTGTTCCACTCTCCCTCGTACTGGTCGCCCTCGTCGTAGGTGATCTGATGACGGCCTTGGGACATGACTATTGCAGCGATGTCGCCCCGTGATCTTCCTCCCCAAATCTGACTGTTCTGGGCACGATTCGTCCTTCGCAAGCGAGCGATCTCCCCGTGGCCACAACGCTATGTGCAGGCACTAGACTACCACGAGCTACATGTGCTTTCTAGCAACAAACTATCTTTCCTCTTTACACTTCGCGTTTTTGTCTTTTGAAGTGTAGCTTGGTCTGCAAAACAATCTCGTCCATGAACATAAACTGCGTCATTGATGGCAGTGATCATGGTGATGCAGTGTACTAGCTGTGAAGTGTTTTGTTAATGACAGCTTGGACCGGCGGCGCGGCCGCAAGCTTGAGCCATCGATCCAGCCGCCGCCAGTCGGCGCTGCATTCAGTGGCATGGAGTCGAAAAAAGGCTCTCACGATACCCTGCAGCATGATTTGGTGGCCGACCTGTGACTGTGTCGCGCGGGGTCACACAGCGGCCACGCCCATCAGGCAAGTACTACGTACTACATGAGTACTGGTATATTATACAGAAGCCTTGCTTGGTAGTTTAAAGGGAAACTGAACGCCAAAAATAAGTATGGCTTATCCGAAGGAGAATTGGGCACTGATTCCGATGAGCTATGTCTCGAGCCGATCAGAGAAGAGGAACCGTGTCAAATTTCATAAATAACACCTTCCATATTTGGAAATTGGGCTTGATGACGTGCGTACTGCTTAGCTGTCACCATGCTGTGCATGCTCAGCAGTGTAATTGAATGGAAGAAAACAATTACTTTGATGTTTTGCAGCTCTATTTCGTTCCCTAACGGTAACCAAATCTAGATGTAGGAATCTGTTGAGCAGGAGAGTGACACATGTCTTCCCGAAGGCTGTCCAGGCTGCAGTGGTGAGGAAGAAGACACGATCATCACCCCGAGATCGATTGTAGCGAATTGGAAAACTCATGGTGAATTTGCTTCCACTCCAAGGCAATGTCGAGGTATAAAGGGTGCTTGTACTGCCTTCCAAAGTGAAGAGGAGATGAACATGGCTGTGCATAGCTGTTGTTCTATGCCAACTTACCTACTCTTGCTGGTACCGTAGTGGCGTATTTGCAAATTTCGTGGGCGAACAACTCGAGTCACTAGTGGCTAGTGAGCAACACTAACAGGTGAGATTTTTCAATTTGACAAAAATTGTTTTTGTTTGAGAACTGACAGTGGCAGTCATTTGACTCAGTAGGTGTCTCTCTGCTGCTTCTTTCCCTTCATTGGTAGGGTTGTGCTTGAATAGTACAAGTGCTTGAAGTAAAAATAAAATAAATAGAACATGTGGAACATAAATCTAATCAAGCATCAGTACATGTATTGCGAATTCAACTTCAAAGCACATGAAATCACAATGATCACTAAGTTTATGGAATCAGGAGGATCGCTAGGACACCCTAGGGCCCTGCCCTGTGTTCAACGAACACATACACACATGCTATATTGCGCACACACATGTACACATGTGCGTGCACTCCCACCCCATCCCACAGACACATGCATGCAGCGCGCACATCCATACACATGTGCGTGTACCCCCCCCCCCACACACACACACACTCCTACCCATACACATGTGTGCGTGTACCCCCCCCCCCCCCCACACACACACGTATGCACAGACGGATACACAAATACACACGCACGAACACACACACAAGATACGTGTAAGTGTACATGGTCTTCCTGGTGCGGATGCTGGGCCAGCACAATGGAAAATACCTTCATCAAGAAGCTTGATCAAGTGTTGTGATAATGTCACTGTTTGTTTGTTTTTACAAAGAAGTGTGGGAAGGATTACAATGCGTTATAATTCATAACTGTTCTTTGCCGGCTTGTACTGTGCAGACCAGAATGCTTCGCTATCAACTCCTGGCTTTCCATCGGCATGGTGTTCAGCTGCAGCGGCATCTGGTCCGGGGAGTTCAAGTTGCTGGATGGCTGCACTGACACAGGATGGGTTTGCGTTGGCAATGCGATACGGCAGTCATCCCACATCATGAGCTACATGTTTATGTAATTTATATTGTCGCTCGTCCAGCAACGTCAAGGCTCTGCATGTAAACACAGGAGAACACCATAATAAAAAATACTACTCAGGGGATAATATTATAATTTTGGATTATCAATTTCGTCACATTTATGAGTTCCTGTCTAAACCATGCCGTGATATTGATTGCTATCTGCTCACAAAGTACCTTGTATTGTAACAATACTCTGCCTAATCACTACCCTCCGCCAATTATTAGATTCACACAATATCCACAACGTATGCAACACGATGCTGTCTATTGACACTACTCTTCTCCCGTCTTCATCTCCCTCTACCTTATGAATACTCTACATTACTGGTTTCGTTTCTACCCTTTCCATTGCTGCCAGCTCCCAGTCTTTTTCAATGCACAGCACCACCTTGGAATTTTTGTGATTTGATGTACACATACTTTGAAGTTGAAATTCGAATTACATGATCAGATTTTTGTTCCACATTTTCTATTTATTTTTACTTCAAGCACAACCCTACCGATAAAGGGAAAGAAGCAGCAGAGAGACACCTACTGAGTCAAATGACTGCCACTGTCAGTTCTCAAACAAAAACAATTTTTGTCAAATTGAAAAATCTCACCTGTTAGTGTTGCTCACTAGCCACTAGTGACTCGAGTTGTTCGTCCACGAAATTTGCAAATACGCCACTACGGTACCAGCAAGAGTAGGTAAGTTGGCATAGAACAACAGCTATGCACAGCCATGTTCATCTCCTCTTCACTTTGGAAGGCAGTACAAGCACCCTTTATACCTCGACATTGCCTTGGAGTGGAAGCAAATTCACCATGAGTTTTCCAATTCGCTACAATCGATCTCGGGGTGATGATCGTGTCTTCTTCCTCACCACTGCAGCCTGGACAGCCTTCGGGAAGACATGTGTCACTCTCCTGCTCAACAGATTCCTACATCTAGATTTGGTTACCGTTAGGGAACGAAATAGAGCTGCAAAACATCAAAGTAATTGTTTTCTTCCATTCAATTACACTGCTGAGCATGCACAGCATGGTGACAGCTAAGCAGTACGCACGTCATCAAGCCCAATTTCCAAATATGGAAGGTGTTATTTATGAAATTTGACACGGTTCCTCTTCTCTGATCGGCTCGAGACATAGCTCATCGGAATCAGTGCCCAATTCTCCTTCGGATAAGCCATACTTATTTTTGGCGTTCAGTTTCCCTTTAACATGTTTTTACTGTTCGTGTTAGTTTACGGCCCGTGCCAGTCTGGCCTGGCCTGGTTTTTGGGTTCTAATCATTCATGGTCACCATGATGTGGACATTGTTTTATTTTTGGTTTCTGTGTACTAGTACATGATATACATGTACACGTCGTACAAAATCCGTGTGTACTTGAATCGATCTCTAGAGATCGATGGACATGCATACACTGAAACATTCGCAACTCGATCGATTCTTGGCGGAATTAAACAAACTAAGTATCTAAGAAAAAGCCGAAGAGCTCAGCTTTCCATTGCATCCATCGGTGAAGAGCTGCGATGTCGCATTCGAAAGATATGACGCTCGACATTTCAGCCACGGCAAAAGTCAAATTTCTTTCCGAGTGACAGACCTTGAGTGGGGACTTTCCCCTCTCCTGGCATGCTGAGTCACTTTGGCATGCTTTGAGCGCGTGGGCAGCATGAAAAGAAACTCAAGCAAAAAATTTGGAATGTTTACGATGAAGGAGCGAGAAATGGCTGGCGAGGAGAGAATTTCCTCGTATATCCAGCGATGGGGTGTATTTGAAGCTCCCTGGCGCTGGGTATGTGATCTCGGTAGTGTCCTGTTTGAGCTCAATGTACGCAGCTCGTGGAGAGCTTTCCAGAATGCCCAAGATTGCGAAAATTGGTTGACTAGAACCGAAGATATTCTCAGAATACGGTGAGACAAATTGCATTTGGGACTGCTGGGGAATTTAGGTCGGATGGTAAAGGGTTAATGTAGATGTACTAGTTCTACTAGTAGACTCTACATGTCAAGCCACTGCCCCCAGTGAAGCCAGTCGATCACTTTGTCCGGCCAGGACCAGAGCTTGGCCTCGCTGGCAAACGAGTCTGACGAGCTGCTCTCGCCAAGACACTTCTGCCAATGAGTGACGAGGTGGCGAAGCTGTACTGGTGCTGTTTCCATGGTTTCTCTACCGAAGTTACCGAAATGTTTAAAGTTAATACACCGAAAATAACGTGTTATACATGTATGTACAGTATTCCGTCCGTGTAAGCGAAATTGAGTTACACTGAGCTACCTAACGGACCGCCGTCACCGAGTCGTCCTGAGCAATGGCCAGCCGCCAGCCACTGTCCCTCTCCCGTTCGGTCTCGAACCTGGCCAATTTTCTGGAAGGAAGAGGCTTGATACTAAACTTTGTCCCTCCAAAACCCATGTTCTGGCCTTACATCCGTCCCGGAGGCAGCCCTTGTTACTTAACATACATGTAGAATGCAATGAAAATCCCCTAGCTCAGACCACAACTGCTCGATATCTAGGTCTGCGCAGATCTCGACTCCCAGTTTCGGTGGGAGACTCAAGTTGTGACTATTTAATAGGCATTTGCGGATAATGCTCGAAAAGGTGGCAGATTCTGCTCGAAAAGCAGTGAAATTGGCAGAACCATACAAACCTTATGGCGGGCAATTCCTCGAATTCTGCTCCATTTCTTTATCCACATACCAAACATGCATGAAACTTACCAGAAAAAGTACCGAATTCTGCCAATTTTTCTGCCGGCATGATCCGCATATGCCTAGCGACTATCACACGGAAGACCTCCCAGAAACTGACGGCGCTGCGAGTCATTCGCTCCTACTTAACTGAGCAACAAACCCTGCTATTTTACAGATCGCTAATACTACCTGACATGTTATATGGATCCAATGCCTTCTTCTCGGTTCTCTCTGCACACCAACGGCATCAGCTTTCGGTCCTGAACAAGCGGTGTATCCGCCGCGTTGCCAACCTGAACCAGCCATTCCCCTCCCACACAGATCACATCTACACATGTCTTGTTCACCTCAGGCCTAACGCATTTACGGTTCCCAATGGAGAAGTTGGCAAAACGTTCATCGCCCAGCCGAGCCAATATTTCCGCTGTTTCGGAGAACAAGGGCCATTTGAACGTTACGCTTTCCTGATTGCAATGGTCTTCCAACAGCTCCTTCTGCAAAAACCAGTGGACAGCAACCCTCCTTCACATTCCTATGTGAATTGCCTTCGCCGCCGCCTACGGGACCGTGGGACAATGGTGACATAGAATCTCTTCTTCACGAAACCCGCACCATACAACAGCAGTTGTGCGATCGCCATGGGTCTTCGAAGAGGAACACCGATGATCCAGACAGAAGCTTTGCTTCACTTGTCCACTCTGATAAGCTCAAGTCTGCGCTGCACATGCTGTCAGAGGAAACGAGAACAGGCCTTCTGCAGTTAGATGACCCAGTGGACGAGACCACTTCGTACCACAAGTACCCATATCGGATCTTAGCAAGCTGTTTGGTGACGTTGTCCATGATCCCCAGCGTCCTCCACAGCTCTGTTCTCCCTCTGGTCCAATGGCGGAAGGGGCATTTACCGACTTCAGTGTAGTGACAGTTGAGGATGGGGCAAGCAGTCTGAAGTCTGTCAATCCTTTCAAGGCAACAGGCAGTGACCAAGTTCCGAGCATCATCCTGCAAAAGTGTTATCTAACCATTGCCCCCACACTTACAAGCATCATCAATTTATCCATGTCCTCCGGTGAGTTTCCCCTGTCCTTCAAGTTGCCCCACGTCAGTCCGCTCTTCAAGAGCGGAGACCCAGCTTTGCCGAAGTCGAAGAACTACCGCCCTGTGTCACTGCTCCCAGTTGGCTTCCGCATCACAGAAGCATTTGTAAAAAATCAGATCACGCAGCACTTGGACTCTAAGCAACTTCTTCCGCCTACTCAGTTCGCCTACCGAAAGCTTCACTCCACAGAAGATGCCTTAACGTACATGTATGCTGTTGATCGATGGCAAATGGCACGGGCAGAGCGCAAGTATACCGGCATCGTGTTTGTCGATATGTCAAAGGCCTTTGACCTCGTCAGGCATGAGCGACTCATTACCGAACTGGTCAAGTTAGGCATCTCGGGAACTGCACTCAACTGGTTCTGCAGTTACCTGTCTGGACGGACACAGCAGATCAAATTGCAGAATCAGTTGTCAGGCACTGTTCCTTGCTCTCGCGGTGTTCCGCAGGGCAGTGTCTTAGGCCCATTCCTCTTTGTAATTTACACTGCTGGCGTCAAGTCAACGATGTCTTCGGATGTGGCAGATCAGGAATTCGCTGATGACATCGCTCTTGACTGCTCCAACGCGTGCCCCGAGCAAGTCTGCGAGTCTCTGTCGTCTGCAGTGACCAACCTCGCCAAGTGGCTAGATGACATCGGCCTACTTCTGAATGCCCAGAAAACCCAAGTTCTGTTTGTAAAGCCAAGAGACGGTGCTGATGTTGAAGAACATGTACGATGTCGAGGACAACCCCTGGAAGCAACAACATCTACAAAATACCCGGGTGTTGTAATCGACAATGACCTCTCCTGGCAGCCACATATCAGCCATGTCATAAGGAAGATCGGGCCAGTAATTGGACAGCTAGCCTATGGCGACACGGCAGGTCCCTGAGCCTAAGAGCCCGCCAAACCTGGTATGTCAGCATGATACAGGCTCATCTGTCTTATGGATCCAACTGTTTCTTCTCCAGTCTTTCAAAGCAGCTCTTGGATAAACTCCACCGCCTGTCAAAATCCGGTGTCAGAGCGACCCTGCAGCAAAGGACTCTGGTCCCGACTTTTTTTCTTTTTTTTTTACTAAGGCCACAGCTTCCAATCATGACATGCAAAGCAGCGGTGCAGCGACTGCCCCCCTTCTAGAGCTACTGGGTGTGCCAAGCTTGCCACAGCTTCTCTTCCAAAAGCTTGCCATCTTCGTTTTCAAATGTTTTTATGACAAGACAAGTCCCCTATTTAATAATCTGTTCGTGCCGATCAACGACCCTGCCACACCTCAGCTGAGGACGACACGGGGTCAAGTGTCAAGCCTGCTGAGAGTTCCGTTCCTCCCTAGTTCCGCTGGACGTCGTTCGATTCAGTTTGTTGGCAACATTCTGTGGAATGCTCTCCCAGTTGCAGTCCGTACGGAAGGCGATTGGCGGACATTTAAGTAGCAATGGGGGACAAGCGAAAGTGAAGGCAACTTAGTAGGGCCAGAAAACGGCAGCCTCCAAGCTCAAGAGTAGGCAAGATATCTGAGACTGAAGACTCGCCATCAAGTGTTGTCAATTTGAATATTACTTCGAATAAAAATTAATTATTGTTGAAAATGTGGAAGGAGATGTCGAAGATACTATTGAGCTGGATATGTCAAGCAGCGACGCAGACAGTGAGGACTTCGACACTTCATCAAAGCCTGAGGGTGAAGCAGAGGAAGAAGACTATGATGACTCTGGTGAAATGGAATCAGCTGGCAAAAATCGCATCGTAGATTTGAGCTGTCTGCAATCTCTCTTGCTTATTGCTTGCGTTTGCTCAAGTTGTCAGACTGGCCAACTGAAACTGCGCGAGACGCGACGCCATGGCTTGGCATCTGTCATTCAGTTGATTTGTGGCAATTGCGGACAGGTATTTTACGGATCGCTGTCCAACAAACATCCTCCACATCGCTACTTCAGCGTGAACAGACAATCTGCTGTGGCAATGAGCATGATTGGCAGAGCTAGAGAGGGACTGCGCAAATTCTGTGCAGTTATGGATTTGCCAGAACCTGTGCGAAAATAACCATTCCAGAATCACAGTATTGATTTACATGACGCAGCTGTTGAGATTTGTGACAAGTCTATGCGGAAATGGGCAACGGAGTTGTTGACGACTAAAACAGTACAGCGGAAAATGTTGAGTATCCAGATCGTGTTGCTGTCAGTACGGACGGTACTTGGATGCGACGTGCGTCTAACAGATAACGCACTTCTGCTTCGCTGTGCCAGGTCTGCAACACAGAATGCCGATGAAGCGTTGAATGGTCTCGTTTGGGGCATGTGTCCCAAAGAGTCCTTCTGCAGCAGGCAAACTGTGGAGACAGATGCTCATCTTGCGACGGCAATCTTCAACGATGGATACAAGACAGTGGCCAACATCCTGTCCGCATCAGGATGTGCAGTTAGCCCATCCATTACAGCCTTCCCGAGTAGATTTGACGCAGACAAGGCATATCACAAGAGGTGCACGTCCAGTGAAGAAGAAAAGTCAGCTAAAAAGCGAAGATGGGCAATCAGGAAGGGGTTTGCAGACCGAGCTCAGCAGGAAGAAGGAGAAACATGTTGTACTGGAGGATTCTAGATAGGCAAAAGTTTGCACTTTTTGGGCTTACCCGGCAAATTTTGGTACATGATATCTCAGCCGTCGTGCATCCTAGACCAACAAACCTTATATCTAAACAGATCTATGGGAAATTGTCTAGGTGCTAACACTCTTTGTTTTTACAGAACTTGCACTCAGAAATATAATTTGGCGTCCAAAGAAAATATATGCTTGCGTACCGTTCCGATTCTGTTCCAATGTGCTTCTGATCATTTCTGTCTCAGTGGGCTTTCTCAAAATATCTCTTCGTTGGCACCTCAGATATGTTGCTGGCCAAACTTTGTTATAATTGTTTTATGTTTGATTGAGATGGTCTTTGTTATAATTACATGTATCATGTACCGGAAGTTTCCAAGTCCGCAAACTTCGATTCCTGATATTTAAAAGCTCAGTGAGCAGCTAACAGTTGGTTGATGGCTCTATCTTTGGATTTAGTGCAGGCAGACACTCTAAAGGTATGTCTCCCCAAAATTTGAAACAAAAATAATGAATATTGGCTGCTTTGCAGTGTTTTTGAATATCGGTGTGTCCTGCAGTGTGCCCGAAGGTGGTCTGCCACCGGCTGACTCCCCGGGCTGAGCGAAGGGGATCACAGAGGGGTAGAAGGGAGCTGGAGTGCGGTCAGCATATTAGGCTGGTGTGTTGGCTGCGATGGAGAGATCATCACACTACTCCATAATGCCAGTTTGAAAGTTAGAAAAGTCGATTTAAGAAGGCCGCCTTGGATGAAGGCCAAAGCGTAGAAGAAAAAAAACTTTTAAGTTTTTCTCAGAGCATGTTGTCTGAAACAATCCACTGAGAAGGTTGATTTGCAACGCCAAGTCTCCGGACGAAGCCGGACGGGTTCAGATGCACGATTTTCGGAACTGGACCTAGCCAGCTTCATGCATGACACCATTGTCGACCGGCAATTATGCTTGTAATGCCAATTTTGCATGCGAAATGGTGCTATAATGCCAGCATTATGCCACCTGGAAAAAGGGACTATTGCTAGCCATAATGCTAGCATTACCCGCCCTTGCCTAGGTACGAGTCCTAGCTGATGGCAGTTGGAGAGGCTTTTCGCCGCCTTTGCCAACTAATGAGTAATGTTATTGTTACTTTGCCAAGCAGCTCAACTGATGACGTAAATGCATAACGTCACTTTGGCTCGTCCTCTTGGCAAAAGTGGTTTTGGACCCTAGCCAGGCTGTACTGATACTAATACTAGTAATACCATTGCGCAACGCATCGCGAAAGTCTCCCTTGGATAATTCAAACCATGCTCAGCGATATGCGATAGGGACCGTACCGATAGTGCTAGTGGGCGCTATGCCAACGATGTGGTTACTTTGACAGCGCGCGGCATGCAACCAACGACGTGAGCTGTGCACGTTACACTTCAGTGGCAGGCACAACGGTACGCGGTGCACCATATGGCCACACTGTACTTGTACTTGGCAGGCGCGCTAGGCGCACGATCCTCAATACTCGAGTTCTAGAACAATTTTTTAGAAGTCTGAACGAAATCTGAACTGGACAGTCCCCTGATCTGACCAAGGCCAATAACTATGTTCATGTTTCTTGTATGATTTCTGCTCTACAGATCCAAACCAAACAATGTCATGTTGAATCATGAACATGCTTTTTAGATGATTAATCGGCTAATTCTGGGAGGAGATTCTCCGAAACTCGTCCCCGCGCTGCTCCATTGCAGCTGATGTTTGCTGATCGAGGGTATAAAATGAACTGCGAAGAAAAAAACACAGCAGTCGTCGAAAGTCAACAGTACGAGTAGTGAGCAGAGTAAAATACATAGCCTATACTATAGGTATTGGTTGTTGGGTGTCGTGGCGTTTAGGTATTGGTTGTTGGGTGTCGTGGCGTTTTCCGAACGGACGACCTCTATCGCCGCTTCACACTACGACAAGCGGACAGTAGGCTCAGTCAAGCTGTATCGATCTCACTCAACCATTGCCTGTTCATCATGGACTTGTTTTCCGCCATAGCCGTCGCACTCTTGATGCTCACGCTTAGTAGGGTTCAAGTAGGTGTCGCAGAGCCCATCCCTCTCAATCTCATCTCGGGTACGTTTTCTTGGCTTCGAGTTAGCGGCACACAGTGATTGTGTCGTGTGTCCGTCTCAATCACATGTCCTTAGTTTGCATATGGCGGGAAAGAGCAAAATGCTATAATAATCATTAATAGTTATATTGAAAGAAAGGGTTTGCTCCCCACACCGGAGCACACACTTAGTTATATTGAACTTATAATAGACCAGTTCCCTTTCTTATTAAGTTATTACTACCAGTAGCTTAGCTTGACATTGCTGTCAACAAAGATGCACGCCTCATTGCAAGGTTTTTCAAATTTGAATATTCGTAATTTGCTGTCTGCCAAATTCCTCCCTGTCGTGTTAGCAACAATGCACTACTAATAGTATTACTACTCTCTGGTTGTGATCAGGGACCGGAGTATTGTGCAGTACTTTCTTTCTTATGTTCGCCCGTTTTCCCTTTCCTGGTGGCGTGGAGCAGTGTTTATTGAAGAAAAACAGCTTAGGGGCGCTACACACAGAGTGCGTCGCTAGTTCTCCGCCTCAGCAGCGATGATGTATTCGGCCTAGCTAAGATAGCCCTGCCGGGCCTGTTTCAGTGATTGCGCTCGTAATGATTTCGTTGCTTGATTTTGTTGTCGCTTATGTCGCAAACGCTTGTGGCTCAATGTAGCTGAACCATCGGACCTTATTTGTCAGCTTGGATCACGTGATCCATCCAGCTGCCGCTTGCGGCAAACAGCACAAATAGCGCTAACTCTGGCCTGCGAGCGCTCGAGCGTTTGCTGGGACTAGCGCGCTAGCGCTCTTGACATACACAAACGCGCTAGCCAGAATGCTTTGACTTTGATGGCTTTCAGCTTCTATTTTTTGAAAAGTAGCGCGCTCAGACCAGCTCGCGACCAGCTTAGCTCGCTCACTCTTTTCCTCTTCCATTTTTTAGGGCAATTGTTTTGTTTGATAGACGAAGCTTAGGGTCTCTTTGGGTTTGCAACCCTTACTCTCCTGGAAAAAATCATAGTTGCTAGACTGCGACACTTCAGACCAGGTACTATTAGAGCCGCTAATGGACGACGAGCTATTTTCCGCTATCCGGAGCTCAAGCATTTGAGCCGCTAAATGGACGAGACTCCTGGGGTAAAGGATGCAGAGAATAATGAGGAGAAAGCACTCGTATGGAGCAGGGAGTAGGTATTGTACTACTTCCTGGTATGGAGCACTGAGAAGCGGTAAGTCTTAGGGCAATTCTTAGCCAGTAATTACTTTCTCGCCATAATTATGTTCTCGTTTATCGTGTCTTCTGTAATGCCAGTACACTAGCAGTACGACTACACTGTAGGCGAGAGTCCATAAACCAGAGTGTGCAGCTCTCCATCTATGCAGCATAAACAAATTAATGACAAATTTCAGTTGCCTAAGGGCTGGGTTCCACTGCCGCTCCGCCGCACATCATCCACGGCATGAAACGTCATCATTACGAGCTGGTCCAGCGAGGCCGCGGCTCATCACCAGCTTTCGCTTCGCTGCTTGATACAAAAAATGCAAGCCGCGGTCACGGCTTGCATTGTTTCCCGCACTTAATTGTTTTATTCGGGGGAATTTTAATTCGTTGCATAGGCCAGAACACGAGGATTTTTTGGATTTCACGCGCAGGCAGGCTAAAGTTCATGTATACCCAGCTAGGCTGTATGGTAACAGTACAGCACAGTGAGTACAAAGTCATGTAATACTATGTGAGTACATCCATACCATTATCATAGGCATAGAGTGAGGTGAGGTCTGCAGTAAGTGCATGTGAACATCAGCCGATGTGGGTCTAGACCCAGGATTGTCATGCAGACACGACAAGATTAGAGAATGTAGTGGGTGATCTGAGCCCAGTCGATCCAGGTCTGCCTTGCGTCGGCGACCCTGCGGAACTGATCTCCACGTTCCATTTTCCAGGAGAACAGTAGCTTCAGTTGGGGATGGTGGTCGTCCCACAAGCAGCAACAGCATCACCACTCCTAGAGAAAACACATCCAGTTTCTCGTCGTATGCTGTTCCTACTTGTAGGCTCTCTGGCGGTATAAAATAAGGCGTACCGGGGCACCGGGTCAAAGCCGTGACTGACGTCTGCACCTTGACTACCATGAAGAGTGCGGGTCAAACCAACATCAGCTTTCTTGGCTCGCCCTGCCGTGCCCAAGATGTTACCTGGTTTCAAATCGCGGTGCAAAATGTTCTTGCCGTGTAGAAAGCGCAAGCCTTCTGCCACGTCGACTAAATACTGAAGGCTTTGAGCGAATGGCTCTCTTGGCTCAACTCCAATTCGATCAAATAGCGAGCCGGCCATCAGTTCTACCACCATACACGGAGATTGATTGGGAGCAATGCGGATCCGAGGAGTCGCACAATTCTTTCATGTTGCAGTCGGCGCATGACTAGGCACTCAGTGCCGAATCGCTGCAAAAGAGCTGCACGCCCGACATTGCCCTGTTGGAGTAAAATACTATGTAAGACCTTCACAGCAACAGGGAGACCCTCCAACTCACTTGTATACACAGTGGCATCCGAACCACGGCCTATCTCGGGTTTGTTCAGGTCAACTTGGACGAATCCAAGCCAAATCGAGTCTGGGACACCAAGTCTCTCTTGGAGCTGAGTCTCAAAGCTGAACCTTGCCATTGCACTAATATAATAGTGTAACACACAATCGTCTTGCTCTCGCAACTGAGTGTTTGATTGTGTCTGCGAGTGTTCAGCACCTTGTTATGGCGTTAGGCGTACACTGCATTGAGTGTGTGTGTGTGTGTGTGTGTGTGTGTGTGTGTGTGTGTGTGTAGTCTGTAGACTACAGTACAGACTTGTAGTGTAGTCCAGTTCCACACTGGGTACCGTATGCATTCCCGTTCTCACCGGCTCCCTGTTTGCAGTCTAGTAGTAGTAGTACAAATACAATGACATGTCATGGACCTACAAGTACAGACATGAAGAGCTCTCTCTCGCCTCAACACTAGGTGGTGAACGTTTTGATCGCAATCGGCCACCACTGCACCAGTACCACAAACGGCGCAGCCGCGTGCCGAAAACGCCCCGTTCGTAAACATTTCGGAAAGCAATCCTCCAGTACCCAGTGCAGTACTAGTAGCGCATAAAAATGAAGCTGACATGGATCATGGACAGCTAGCCTGCCTGGCTAGCTGGGTGGCCGACCACAAACTGACTGGCGAGTGGCGAGTAGGCAGATAATATTATGCCTTTATCACTCTCTTAGTATTGACTCCCATTGATTTTCGATACCTAAGAAGTCAAATATTCCTGCATATTTCACTCCTTAGGGCTATATTGACTGCTTATATTTGACTGCTTAGGGGTTGCGCAGTTGAACGGTGCCTAGTGCAGCATTGTCACTGCATGAGTAGGTGGTGGTGCAACAGTTGTTCAATCATAAAACCGGGATTCATGAGGTTATCGTTCTGGAATTTGAAATACGGACTGTTTGTCGTGATAAATCTAATATTGACTTCGTACTTGGTCAGTATAGGAAATAAAAATCTCGTAAAAGACCTCGGCTTTGCCTCGGGCTTTTACTCGGCTTTTATTTCCTATATTGACCTCGTACTCAGTCAATATTAGATACGTATTCTGTTGACGTCATCAAACAAGACAAAACAACAATACAAGGAACGTAACCATGGAAACTGTTGGTTGCTCCCTAGACTGAAGATCGTGCTATCCACTGAGTCTGTCAGTGTCAGTGAATTGTCAGTGACTCGGCTTGACACTCGACGCCAGTTGACGGCTTGACGACTGTCATCCAGGGCACACGCCATACCCATTGAGCCTTCGACCGGCAAACGTGCAAGAAAGCACCAGTCCCTGTTCAATGCACAGTGTTTCGTGGAATTTATCTGTCATCAGTTGAGCTTGAGAAATACTGCGCTTGAAGAGCACCACTTTCATCGTGCTCTCCAGGCCATAACATCAAGCGCTCAGAGCATGCATGGAGACAGAAACGTTAGTCGAGGTACTCCGGGTCCCCGTAACGGGATGATCCCAATAACGTCAGGACTTGAGCTGGACCCTCCACTTTTGCTGGGGCCAGAGAACATCGAAGTATGTAAACGCTCGGAGCAGAATAGCGAATTGCTGGCAAGCTAACACAAGACCAGAGCATGCACTGAGGAAGTAACGTTAGTTGAGATATTCCCCGTAATGCAACAGGCGTGGGAGTGCGAACTGCTAGCACATAATCCATTCACTGGCGGATGCGACAGAGTTCCATATAGCTGGACTGGAGTGTAATAGTCTTAAGGGCAGGGCACTCTCATAAAAGTATTGATCCTGCCAGCGGATCAACAAGGACCAATCCTCCGGGCGGACGGGAATTCGGCAGAATGCACTTTTAACATTGAGCTTAGCAAGATACACCGGGGCGAGCACAATTGTGGAGGAAATTGTTTGGGAACGCATGTTCCGCAAGTTGCATGCTCGAAAGTCGAAAACAGCAATGACATGCAAGAGACATTGTACAGGATCTTGGAGGGCGCATGACCATGTGACTCGCGCATGCGTGCAGGTCAGGCCGGCTTGCTGGGCTGCCTGCTAACTTGCGTTAGCATGCTAACGCTCATTATGGTTTAGATCGCATTATTGTAATGGTCGCGGTTTGATTTCAAAAGACCATAGAAAGTATCATACTATCGGTCGAAAGTTTAGGGGTGTGGTACTAATGGGCTGGGAATGTAAGGATCAGGTAGATTGCACGGTTTTAATGGTCGTAGTTGTTGTATAAATAGAATGCTGAGATAATTAGAAGAGGACTATGAGGAAGAGCAAAATGACAGGGGTGACAGTGTTAAAGCTCTGAGCAGACGGCGTCGGCAGTAGTGCCTACACAGAGAGTAGAAGAAGGGAGAAGAGAGGTCCCGCCGCCTCGAGAGTCGCCGTGCTTGCGAAAGGCTATGCCAACAGCAAGAAACGACGGAGCAAATATCCCGTCGTTTGGAGACTCACCGCCTTCGTGACAAGACGCGTCGACAGCTAGAGACCGCTGCACAGGCATCCATTCAGCAGGAGAAAATACATGCTCTCATGCTCGAACTTGTTCGGTGTGCGGGGCCATCATCATGTTACGCACCAGCCTGGCCCTATTCCGTTGATGTTCCATACCATTCTGGCAAAGACTGCTGGCCACATGTTGAAACAGGGCTTGAAAAAATGAAATAAGCTAGTACCATAGCGTAATCTATTATTATATTTACTTTTACTTGGTAGAATGTACCTGTCTGAGAGTTTGAGTTTTGAGTTATGTATCGACGTGCGTTTATGAACTAATGTTTTGATTGTCATGCACATGTTTTTGTATTGCAAAGACGTTTCTATCAGTTCGAATAACACACATGATGACCTAGGCATTTATAAAGCATAGCGAGGGCTCCTGGGCGGTCAAGCCCTCTCTAGCCTTCAAGCCCAAGCGCTCTTTATTCGTGCGATATCGAAATGAAAAACTAAATGCAATAACAACAATGAACAATTTATTTCAGCCAAGTACAAGTGGGGTCTATTGGTATCCTTTATTTCAGCCGAATAAAACTGTTGGCACAAGTTATTGCTATCGCATAATGCATGATAACCTAGGCAAAAATGCATAGTGAGGGCCCTGAGCTTTCAACTGAGCTCTCTCGTTGGAATTATCAATATGGAGGTGTATGTGGCAATTTTTCACGTAGGATTGCCTGCCACTTGCAGCACTGCATTGCCTTCTGCAACATGGGGAAAGCTGCGTGCTCAGGCCCGTAGCAGCTCCATTCTGGTTGGTCCAGCGAGACCTGACTTCCACAACTTTGCGTGCTTTTCTTGTGACGGGCATATACATGGTACAAAGTGTGTGTGTGTGTGTGTGTGTGTGTGTGTGTGTCTGTGTGTGTCTGTGTGTGTGTGTGTGTGTTGGCGTTCCTCTGGAGCAGCTTGGTGACATCGTCCAAGATCGACAGGGATGGCGGGTCACCTGCCGTGATGCTGCCGTGATGCTGTCGACGCTATTGTCCAGTCCCGCATGGAGCCTGTGGCGAAGCCCCTCATTTGTGGCACTTGTGCGTGCAGTTTTCGTCGGCCACAGGATATTGCGAGGCACAAGTGTAACGCTGTTCGCGCGGCCCGCGCGCGCTGAGTATGGCGTTCCCCGCCCGGTGGACAGCACGTCTCCTGGTCTACCCCGTATGGGGCCACGTAGTCAGTCATGGCAGCGGAAGAAGGAAGGAAGGAAGGTGTGTGTGTATGTGTATGTGTGTGCGTGTGTGTGTGTGTGTGTGTGTGTGTATGTGTATGTGTGTGTGTGTGTGTGTGTGTGTGTGTGTGTGTGTGTGTGTGTGTGTGTGTGTGTGTGTGTGTGTGTGTGTGTGCGTATGTGCAGCGATTTCCAATCGATAGATTGCGGGTTCGATTCCCGACGATTATGGTCACACACGTCTTTCTTCTCTTTCTCAGACTCTTCCTGACTTCTCTTTCATTCTCCTGGGTGGTTACCAACAGCCAGTGCATGCCGGAGTATGTGGTGTGATGTGTGTGCGGGAAAAAAAAGAAGAAAAAAAATGGAAAAAAAATGAAAAAAGACCAAAAAAAGGGATTCACTGGCCAGAAAATGTCACTCCAAATAGCTGTATGGTGTAGACCAGGCTGAATAGTGACGGTCAATTCTTCAGCCTTGCAAGCTGTTGAATGGTGTAATCCCAGCACAAGTTGCTATGGCTTCTGCCGTAGCATTGCTATCATCGCCTCCGGCGATGGGCGTCAAAGGTCAAAGGTCAAAGGTCAGGTGTGTGCGTGCATGTGTGTGTGTGTGTGTGTGTGCGTGTGCCCCCCCCCCCCCACCCAAACCAAGTTTATGGTTTCTGGCCCCAACACCTCTAATGACGATCTAGAGCCGCTCGCGACTCGAGCCATGGAGATTGCCCATGTGTCGTCTTTTCGTTACCTTGGATCCAACATACACAGCAACGGCCGATGTCATGATGATGTCACATCCCGGATCTCTGTCTGCCTGTCTGTCTGTCTGTCTGTGTGTGTGTGTGTGTGTGTGTGTGTGTTTGTGTGTGTGTGTGTCTCTCTCTCTCTCTCTCTCTCTCTCTCTCTCTCTCTCTCTCTCTCTCTCTCTCTCTCTCTCTCTCTCTGTTTCTCTCTCTCTCTCTCTCTTTTCCCCGCTCTCTCTCTCTTTCTCTCTCTCTCTCTCTGTGTCAATATACAGCTCTCACCGTCCAGGAGCGACACTGACTCGCACTGCTATCTGGTGCTCACGAGGTGTTTGTTGCGCTGCAAACGGAGCGTCTCTGTGAGTTTGTATCCCTGGTGATGTTTGGACCTGGAGAGCACTACCGTAAAGTCGCGGATAAAAGCCGGGTTTGCATACAAGCACATCGCGGATAGAAGCCTGGAAATCGAACGGGTCAATGCATATAAGCCTGTCGCGCGTAGAAGCCTGGCTTCTATGCAAGCGCGGATCGGGTAGGTCAAGAGTGCATGCGCTATGTACAGTGCATAGTAAAAACCGGTAGTCAGTGGTAAATCTACGCGTGTCGCGCGTAGAAGCCTGGCTTCTATGCAAGCCCGGATCGGCCGATGTGCATACAAGCCTGGCAAAAATATCAGTGGTGCATACAAGCCTGGTTTGCATTGAAGCCTGATGCAGGAAGCGGCTTATGTGCTTATAAGCCCGGCTTTTATCCACGACTTTACGGTATATAAATGGTGCTCTTCAGGAACAATATTCCTCAGCCTACTCAAACTCGACTGATGAGGGTTAATTTTCCCGAAACACTGTGTATTGAGCAGGGAGTGGTCCCTTCTTGCAGGTTTTCCGAGTGGAAGGTTGGATGGACTTTTCATGTGCTCTGGGTGGCAGCTGTCAGTCAGTCAAGTGTAAAGTCAAGGCGGCGGAATAGCGTGAGCTCCAATGTTGAGAGCAAACCCTTTCCTAACAATCATCGCCGAAGTCGCAACCACTATTTTGTAGGTCTACCCTTGTTAGGAGACAACCCTGGGGGTATCAACTTTTTTTGTCCGATAACGAGTACATTTTTCTGCTGCTTTGCATCATCCATATTGTGTCCACATCAGAACTGATGTTTCCTTGTTATTAGACAGTGTTTTCCACCAGACCCCTGTACAAGACAACCCATTATCAGACAATGTTTCATCGGACCCCGATACAAGACAACATGAAATATCAATCGAGCTATCCTTGGCCATCCGCTTTTTCTTGTAATGAGAATTCAAACCTGTGGGACAGCTGAAGGGGACGTTGCAACGAATTTGGTCTACAAACGAATTATCTCTTATCCGGACTTGCATGTACGACTGCTAATGATTCATGGGATTTTGGATCGTTGTCTACTAATGAGGTTTGTCTTGCAACCGATGTCATACTAACGAGGGTAGGACTGTAAATTAAATGCTTGAAAGTTGAAACTTCGTTTTTCAGATGAATCAGACTGCAAATAAATAGCATAGCAAAGACCATAGCTATCCCAGCAACACTTGAGTAGTGCCCTCTTTTACCTTCTTCTATGTTGTCCTCTTCAGTTTGAGCAGGTATGGATGTTTCCTAGTGCCTTCTAGAATTTCTAGGTATATCATTGGTCTTGTTCGGATCGTCCATTACGTTTGCAGCTGTTCAAACTTGTATTGTTTGTTTATTATTTTATTGATTTATTTATTCTACTTGGCTTTCCTATCTTCTTGTGTTTTAGCATTAGGCGATTTGATCGCAGGACAAGAGAGGAGCTGATGGACGATCTCTCCAATGTTCCTCTTGGTTCGGAGCGGCACCGAGTGCTGACGTTGGGACTTGGGTAAGGATGAGTGTTCCCTCATGTTTACAAGTTATCCGTTTTGTCCAAAACTAACGGTTACATGCAGAATACTGCTGAGTCAAAAATGTGCAACAATCAGCGCAAAAACTGACTGATGAGATCATGACATTCAACGACCTGATGCTTAGCTGCATCACGTTTATACCCATTAGTGTTGGAAAAAACGGATAACTCGTAAACTTATGGTCCTCTTTTTTTAATATTTATCCTTGGCTCTCCATCCGAGTTCCCTCATGTGTTGCTATTATTTTTATTTACTTATTTCAAGTTTTGCCCAGGGTCTACATTCTACATTTATTTTACTTAGACTAGGGTTAGCTGTCCGTTTACTAGTACTCATCCACACATATGTGCACATAGGGTCTACAGTCTCTACACAGAACTCTATCAGTAGGTATTTTTGTATAGGAGGTTGTCTATCCTCCGGGATAGCACTATATACTCCCATTCTGTGTGTTCTCTGGTAGCTATGTTCCTTGGAGACCATATGACCGTGCCAGTGTGGTGACCGAGGTGAGGTGTGTCTGCACTGGCATCGTCAACTTCGCCTACTGCTACGTGCTCCCCAGTGCTCCATCTGTGTCCTGTACTTTATTTGGGGGGGGGGAGGGGCAATACCGGTACTTCAGGTGTAGGGGGGATGGAGTGGGGGACATCATACCCCAATGAACCTCTCCAGGCGTTGTTCTTGAGTAGACTAACCATAGGCGGAGTGTACACATGCAGCACATAGTTTGGGAGCTAGAACGCGATCAGACTCAGGCATATTCAAAGGCAGTCTTTGTGATAGTAGTCCTGGACTGATCTCACTATGATGATATAGGTCGTGCCCAGCATCACAATGCCAAACATTATAAATGACTGGTTTTTTGCCTGAGGGGCTAGATGAACATGTGGCTAGACTGCGGATGGCAACCAACAGGCTCAAGGCTGTGTTGAGACTTCGTGTGCGCGACCCGAGTCAATTGTTTACTCACCATGACTAGGCATCGCATTGAGCATCGTATGACCATTAATATATGTCACTGTTCTTAGTCGCACCGGGGGCGCATGCCCGTTTTCAGGAGACTTCTCAAAACACATAAGACCTGTGCCTTGAAGGTTAGGCCTATTGTTAGTCTGAATAGTCCTGGCTACTATCCCGCTAAGTTCATTGACTTTCTACTGAACCCGTATGTACGTGAGGAAAGTACTGTTCTGGCCTGAACTACGGATTTCATCAACTTGGTAGAAGGTTTGCCTGTGCGGGACGATCATTTATTTTTGAGTATAGATGTGACCAGCCTTTACACCAACATCCCCAACGAGCTCGGTCACGTGGCATTGTCGTGGTATATCACACACAGGTATACAAGGTGGATGCCCCCGGCCCTTCGTACACGGTTAACAACCGCAGTGACTTCCTTGATGTCAGTCATTCGGAAGACTAACGAGTTCGTGTATTATAACGATTTGTTGCAGCAGATCCAAGGGACTACCATGGGTTTGCCTGCAGCAGTGGTCTATGCCGACATTGTTATGCTGTATTTGGAGAATCGGTACATTTTGCCGATCTTGGAGGGGGAGGGTTTAGAGGTTCAGGTTTATAGACGCTTTATCAGTGACATTTTTGTTTCATTGCATGGTTGCGAAGGTCAAGTTCAGCGCGCTTTAGACAGGATTAATAAGTGTTCGGCCCTCGAATATGCGCATGAACTGGCACATGATGGCATTGATTTCCTGGAAACCACAGTTTTCCGTAGTAAGGGATACATGGCGGTGAAGCCTCATTTCAAGGTCACCAATCGTTTCCTGTATCTGCTTGCGGTAGTAACCACCCCCGTAGTATGGGTAAAGGTGTGATCACTGGGGAGTTGATCCGTATCCGTCGGTCTACGACCCTTGACCACCACTACGAAGCTGCTGCCGAGCAGCCGAAGCAGGCTTTCCGGGCCCGTATATACAAGAGCTCCATCTTTCATCTTTCAGACCGTACACCAGGCATGCAAGGCCGGCACAGCTGGGGTGGCCTCAGCCACCCCACTTTTTTGGCCGTTTTTTTTGTTCTTGTTTTTTTAGCACACTGCAAGAAAGCGCAATGATCGCAGCTCAGCTCAAACGTGGCAAATAATGAAGAATCCTTGTCCCCGATCCCCGTCCCCGATCCCCGTGGTTTGTTACAGAATAAAGGAGTCTTTCATTGTAGTTGCACTGAAATGGCACCAAATGCCCGGAAATGCTTGCAATTGGCTTCAATTTTTGACATTTTTACCGCGGAGGTCCCCGGACCCCCTTGCATGGCCGCCCCACCTCCAAAGTCGGTGCGACGGGCCTGGCATGGATGCGCAGGGAAGGTATGTTGGTCAGATTGGCATGGGTTTGGGTTATTTCTGTAGTTGTATACAGTGTTCCTCATTGTATTTACCTGGGCCCGGCCTGCTTTCCTTCGCCCGTTGGTCTTGAGGTCCAGGTGTAATACCCCTACCATACAGTCCGGTGGCCAGCGCGGCCCGGCAAATTGTTGTTACAAGGTGGAACATCGGCAAGAGGTTGCTTGCTCGTTTGCCTCATGCTCAGTGTCCTCAGGGAGTTGGTATTTAACTTCTGTTTGGATTTTGCAGTGTCTATGGTGTCCGTAATTGAGTTTTTGTTCTGTGTCCTTTTCTGTGGTGTGTGGTCATTGTTCACACATCTTTATTTGACTTGCTTCCTGGTGTGGTGTATCCTTTTGTTTTATCATTGGTGTTGGTCTGGCTGTAGAGTTCTAGCATCCGTAGCTGCCTCAGGGGGTGCCACTTCTCCCATCAGCGTCGACTAGTCCGCAGGAAAGGACCAACCAAACTGCATCCAACCATTGGTCTTGCCGAAAAAGATTATGGCCATTGCATTCTTCTTACGGCAAAAACTTTAACTTGTTTTCTGGCTAAATCTGAGTCTGGCAATTACATGTTAAAACTAGCAATGTGCTGTCTGAACAATAAAAAAATTCAGACAGCACATTGCTGCCCTGCCCTACCCTGGCCCCTGTAGGTAAGAACTGCACAGCACTGACAGCGCCTTTCAACGGCAAGGTGACCGGAACAGGTTTCACGCCCGGCACTGGTCTCTTCTTCGCCTGCAATGTACCCTACGTACTCCAGGGCAGCGTCGTGCGCTACTGCGACGTCTCCGGAACGTGGAGCGGCGTTCCTGCTACATGCTCAAGTAAGCGGTGCCAATGCTACTGTCATGTGTTCCTAATACTTCCTAATACCTCCTATCATGTTATCATGCCATCATGCTATCAGGCTGGCAGGCCAAGTATTGTGTTGATTATCTATTTGAATGATATTAAATTGCTACTGCTGTGCAAAGATAAGCGAAGCATGCTCTTGTAGCAGCGTATCATTAACAAGTGTCCCTTGGCGGATGTGTTCATTTTCTTTCTCTTTTATCTTCAGTCCCTGATATTCCCTGCAAGTACCACAAGTTCAAGTGCGGTGGCAGTGGTGGTTGCATCTCGACCACCAAGATCTGCGACGGTGTGTGGTATGACTGCCCGGATGGCTCCGACGAGAGCAACCGCACTAGCACACGCGGCACTGCAGCACCAGGTAAGACGAGCGTGTAGAGTGTGAAATAGTTCTGTGACTCCTGCATCGCGGCTGAATGTGCATGCATGTGTCACACACTGTTGACAGGCATGCAGCCCCACTGCATGGCTTGCATGTGTATGAGTGTAAGCTAGGTGTTCTGGATGCAATGGATGGTATTCACACCTCAGCCTGCCAGGCTACAGCCTATGGAGTGTGACATGGGCTGTGTGCTCAGCTGCAAGGTGATTTACAGCTGTGAAAGGTGCCAATGCAGCACCAGTGAAGTGTCAGTTGGTCTGCTACGTATGACACATTTTTCCCCACCAAATCTTTACCAGCTGATGGCATAAAAACTGCTGTCGGTCTCTGGAGAGCTCATTACAACTCCCTCAGTCTTCAATGATTTCCTTTCCACTGTCTTGGTACCAAAAGACATGCTTCCTCCCTTACTGAACTCGTAAGTGGCCTTTGCTCAGCTGTTAGATACTGGATGAATATCTTTGAAAGACGAATATTTGTGTTCTATTTCATTTGCTTTCTTGCTTGCTTTCTTGTGTGTGTGTGTGTGTGTGTGTGTGTGCGCGCGTGCGTGCGTGCGTGTGTGACTGTCTGACCCAGCAGACTCCACCAAATGGCTACATCCAGGGAGCCAGCATGACCAGCTATGGCAGCCAGATTGCGTTTGGCTGCTACTAGCTATACCTTCTCCAGGGACCTGCCACCCACACCTGCCAGCTGAGTGGCAAGTGGGATGGTGTACCACCGGTCTGCACATGTAAGTAACGTTACTGATGTTCTTTGCTGCGACTTCTGTGATCTACACTGGGACCATGTACGTGACTGTACTGCAATGTAGTCAGTGCTGCTCGCTCACTGTGTGCATTTGTTGTGCTAACCCTAACCTTGACCCTAACCTTTTTTGTACGTACATGCAAGAAATGTTTATTTGGCATGTTCTTTTTAAGTGTTGTTTCTTCGCCTGCTGAGTATAGGTAAAGATGTGATACTCTACATTTGCGTTGTTACTGATTTTGTTTTGTTGACGTTTGTGTGCACAGTGGCCTCACTTGCAAGAGTGGCTTCCAGCCATATCGTGATGGTACCTGCCTGGCCTCTTCCAAGTTCTGCAATGGCGTTTTCTTTGAGTGTCCCGACAAGACAGACGAATATCAATGCGGCACGACTGGACGTAAGTTGAAGCATGTGATCAAATCGGCATGTATCACAATGAATGCATATTGTGGAGTAAGGACATCACAAGGTCACTGCTTCTCCAGGACACTGGTTTACTTCTTCTTGGATTTCCTTACGTTGTGCTCGCAAAGTACACAATGGCAGATGTTAATTGTTGGCATTGGTTTCCTAATGGTGTGTGTGTGTGTGTGTGTGTGTGTGTGTGTGTGTGTGTGTGTGTGTGTGTGTGTGTGTGTGTGTGTGTGTGTGTGTGTGTGTATGTGTGTGTGTGTAAGAAAAAAAAATGAAAAATAGGGATTCACTGGCCAGAAAAAGTCACTTCAATCAGCTGTGTTGTGGATACCAGGCTAAAAATAGTGGCGGTCAATTCATCAGCCTTGCAAGCTGTTGAATGGTGTAATCCCAGCACAAGTTGCTATGTCTAACATAGCTGTTCGCTATCATCGCTTCCGTGATGGGCAGGTCTGAGGTGAGGTGAGGTGTGTGTGTGTGCCTGTGTGTGTGTGTGCCTGTGTGTGTGTGTGTGTGTGTGTGTGCCTGTGTGTGTGTGTGTGTGTGTGCCTGTGTGTGTACGTGCCTGTGACGTGTACAGCCGGTGTGTGCACACCGCTAGCTAAACCGACCAACGGCTACTCCCAGGGCACAAACTATTCTGCTGGAGGCAGCGTCGTCTTCGGCTGAAATTCCGGATACAACCTGCAGGGAAGCATTGTGCGCATCTGCCAGATTGACGGTTCCTGGAGTGGTGCAGCTGCCTCATGTAATCGTAAGTTGAATTTCAAGAGAGCCAATATATCCCTCTTGTGTAGAGAAGCTTCAGGCTTGTAGGAAGGCAGATTCTGGTGGCGTTGATCTTTCCTATTTACAGAGCATGTAATAGTCTGGGTGTTACCTGCCACTTTTCATCATCACAAATGATGATCGTGCTAATCACAGGACCCAGGACCAGTCGGGCATCTCAGCCTGAGTCCTTAGGATATATGATATACTTGTAGGTGTATGGTTAGGGTGTTTCACCGGGTACCAGAACACTGAGTTGTTGACATAAGCCGGTAACTTTTGTCGAGCCTGTTTTAGGCTACCACCTCCTCCAAATATACTAATATCTCTTGACTGTACGAAAGATGTGCCGAGCAGACACTTTCTTCATCTCTTGACTGCTTTGAGTGTTGTGTGTATGGGTACGTGTATCCAGCCATTCAACTGCAGTGCCAGTCTGGCTACCTGCCCTGCCTGCGTTCCAGTGGCTGTATCCTGCCATCACAGCGCTGCAACGGTGTTTGGTACGACTGTGCTGATGGCTCTGATGCACAGTACTGCCCAGGCAAGGTCACACCAGCTCCAGGTAAGCACCAGCAGCAGCACTGATGGTAGTACCATGACTTCTATTACAAGCAAAATATAGAGCTACTGTTGACCGCTATTCACTGCTGTATCTATTGTATTACTTTGCATGGCCATGTTGAGGCAGTCTTCGCATCAATTTCCTTTACACAATGCGTGTACTACAATGTATTCAAAACCAACGTCTGTGCCACGCACACATACGCAAACGTTTTAGGGGTGAAACGAGTATATTGAATACTCGAGCGCTCGCTCGAAAATTCGAAAGGAGTGAGGACTCGTTTCGCAAAATACTCAAAGTATCTTATGCACAGCCTGTACTGTATGCTTGTTCATCAAGCACGTCTGTTACTCTGACCAGTACTGATAACCCATGCAAGCGTGATATTATTACTTGTCCCCACTTACCAACAAAAAGACAGTAGTTCAGACTATTTCCTGCACTAGGCTGCATGCAAGGCTACATGTGTATCAGGTGTAGTACGTTCAGTGTTACGAGAGTGTGTACAGTACATTGTTTTATGTTGTCAGTAAAATACTCGTACTCGCTCGAATACTCGCTCGTTTTTTCAAAGAGTACTCGAGTCCTCTATTTTGGCACTCGTTTCACCCCAAGGTCAAACATGCATGCACTGAATGCCTGTGCTCTGTGCTCTGTGCACTCTGTGCTTGTGCAGGTCAAATCGACTGCCAGGTCCTGTCACCACCGGCACTGGGCTCAATGACCGTGAACGGCTCGATGTTCAGCAACACGACCACGTTTGTGTGCACATCTCCCTATGTCCTTATGGGCTCGGCCGTGCGTACTTGTGAAATCAACGGCCAGTGGAGCGGTGTGCAGCCAACTTGCGTCCGTAAGTACATGTACCAATGCTCGACTGGCTTGTATTATGCATTCCCGTTCATCACACCGCTCATACTGTCAAATGCTGCCTCTTCTCATTCACAATGGCGTGGGTCACAGTAGATAGGCCTGGTGCAGGTATTGCCAGTTCCTTGCTTGCTGCAGTACAGTATGACATATTAACTTAGCTGGTAAGCAGTGCATGTGTGTATGGCAAGTGTTAATTTTGTCCATTGCTTCCCAACCCATGTGTAGTGACGACTGCTGCTCTGAGTGCGGCCAGTGACGAGCTAGTCAAGGACTCCGTCTCAGAACGCATGACACAAACGTGTAAGCCTAGTATTGCTGCATAATTAAGAGTTTTGCCGGAATAATTTCCTTGTGGCAATTTCTCCTGCTGCTGACTGCTGAACATGTTGTGTCCTTCACAACTAGTCTCTTTGTTCTAAGAAGTCTGCCTCTTTCATCGATTCGTGTTTACCTAGCTGCGTTACGCTATTAGTAGCCTATTACCTGTTGTGCAATGGGGCTGGCCTAAAAGCTGCTCGCTCAACAGTTGTGTTGCACGGCATAGAGAGAGAGACGGCAAGCCGCCTCGGCATATTTGCGGATAGAGCTTTTAGTAGAAAGGAAAAGGACATATGGATATGAGTTAAGAGTAACTGTCCACCACTGTAACTAGATACTACAGTAAAAAAATGCAACAGCTAGGCACAAAACTGACAGAGTGCTGAGACATTCGACGACCTGACTCCTAGCTTCAACACATCTCCGTAGCGCTAACCAACAGCCTTCCAACTTGGAAGGTTCAAGGTTAAAAGGAGAGACCAAAGAGGGGAAGGCAACGAAAATGAGCACAAGCTAGTAGTTGAAGCTACAGTCCCACAGGAACAAGACATGTTGAGTGTTACTGGACGATGACGAAACCAGTATTACCTTTCCCTCTTTGGTCTCTCCTTAACACTACGGAGATGTGTTGAAGCCAGGAGTCGGGTCGTCAAATGTTTTAGTGCCTAGTTGTTGCACTTTCTGACTGTATTTAGTATATAGTGACAGTTACTCTACACTCATATCCATACGTCCTTTTCCTTTCTACATTAATTTTATTATTGCCATATTGGCTCAACATCCGAGTTTCAAAGAGCTTTTAGTGGACGACTTAATCCATTTTCGGCAATACTTACAACGATCCAATCAGTCATATTGTAGATCAGGCTATGCTGTGGGTAAGTGTACTACTGGCCTTGTATGGCTTATTGTTTGCCAGCGAGTATTTGGCATCATCTACTAGTATTCACTCGTTTGACAGCCAAAGAGTATTTGTGTGGGAGGCTGGGAGTCTCGCACCTGACTGTCACGTTGCGCCTGAAGGTCACTAAGACGCGGCCATATACGGTGGAGCCGTCGCAGTTCCATCTACTGTCGACAAAACATGCCCGGTATTGGCTATTCCGGTACATAACAGCCCATGCCTGTAGCACTAAGCCTGTGTTCACTTTTGCCAAAGGGATCCACCTTACTCGGCCTTATTTAAATAAGATACTCTGTCACGCTCTCAACTGTTATCAGGTTAGCTCCAGTTCCATGCCCATTGTTGGAGCGACAGTCCTGGAATCCAGAGTTGCAAGTGAGGTGGTGATACGGCAAGCTGACGGTGGCAAAGTACGGCTTAAAAGCTCTACATCTGGCAAGTGGCCGGCATACCACCCCAATGGACATCGGAACAGTACACGTAGAGTAGCATCTCTACGTGACAGGGTATGAGCGCAAGTGAGTTCTTATGCTCTACTAATGTGCATTGGTTCTGTGACTATAGTTGGTGTACAGATCTCATCACATGTGCCTTAGGCGGGATTTGCTATTGTCACTGGAAAATTCAGCCCTAACAAACAGTGTGATGGATGAATTTGACTCCAGGTATCTGCTTTTGGGAATGCCATGTATGCATGTCTGGCGTGCTACTGCTATAATGTTGTGGCAGCAGCATTTTGGTGCGATGGACTGTTCTTGTAACGGTGTACCTACCTATTTGCTATTGCCGGATGCCGTGTTTTGTCAGTTGTGCCTGTTTCAAGGTGCCAGGCCAGCTTGTGTTGGTGCGTTCCCGTTAAGTTGCCAGGGCACCATATTTGTAACGGCGTTCCCGTTTTGCTGTTGTGGGGCTGTGTTTGTATCGGTGTGTTCCCGTTGAAGTTGACGGGGCACCACGTTAGTGGATTGTGCCTGTTTGAAGTTGCCAGGCCAATCCTGTAACGCACACCCGTTTGCTGATAATTGGGGACATGTTTGTCCCTTTTGCTCGAGATTCACATGGCTGCGCCAGGTGCCTTGTGCAGATTAGACTGTTATCTGGCACTAGTCTTGATCTGTTTTATTCAGATTCAGATAAGCTATTGTTTCTATACGAGAAAATCTGTGGGTGCACATCCAATTCATTTGCAGATTTGCGTGCTTCTCCTGCAACGGGCGTTTACATGGTACATGGTGTGTGGGCGTTTGTGTGGTGTTTTCATGCTGTACAGGCCAGTATTGCCAAGCACTGGGGACCTTTGGCAATCTGAAGAATGTTTTGTCCGAGAATCGATCCTTGGATCTGTGGCGTTGCAGTTGTGGTGCTCCCGACCCTCTTGCGCGATGGCCGCGGAGACTTGGCGAAAAGGTTCGAGACATACAGCATCTCAATATCTTCCACCACAATCAGTACATCAGCACCACCATCGCGTGTAGCGACATCAGCAATAGAAGACGCACATGATATCATTCCCCCTTAGCGAAGACCCGGGAATACCTGAGAAGATGTTAGCCGCGACTTTACTGGAAAAGTCGTCGGTGACAACGGCACTCCCTGTTTTAGCTGCATGCAGTTAGGCCTCTCAACAAGTGTACCCAAAGTTTTCAACTTAAGCTAATACACAAGCAAATTCACTAGGGTCCGAGTATATTTTCCTACACCTCTCCCTGTTTGTTGTTGTTATTTCTGCATTCAAATTGTTTGTGTACCTGTACATTTATTACAGTAGAGCCACGCATCCACGGCTGTTGCTTGCAAGGGGTCAGGCTCGTTAGTTATACAAAACCTTTCAGCAATCTGGCCTTAGGCTTAGTTCCTTGACTTCTCGTACCACTTTCTTAGATGCACATCCCACTGGATAGTGAGCAATACGTGTGTAGCAGAATCTGTATTCCAGAAAAGCAGAGACTTGAGTCTATTGACACTGCGTTTCTTTTTAAAACGTTATTGGCTGTTCCTAGAGGTATACACGTACATTCCTGGGTCCCACGTTCTGTGACGCCCGGCTGTATTCGTGGTGCATCAACAATTTTTAATATTGTGCACTCGTGAAAACCTGCCTGAGGCTGTGAGGCTGCAGAGTGTTGACTGTGTTTTGCTTTAAAAAAACCATCAGGTCTCCCCAGATTTTCTAGTCTGGCCCTGAATTTTGCCACTCTTCGGTTTCAAAACCTAGTGTGGTGGAAAGCCTAGCAGTGTTG